GGCGAGCTGGGCCACGTGTGTTGGGCTGGGCCACGCGTGTTTGCTGTGCCACACGTGTTGGGCTGGGCCACATGTGTTGGGCTGGGCCACGCGTGCCAGGCTGTGCCGCGCCCGTGCCAGCTGCGTCCCCCTCGCAGGCTGCCCCACCTACATGGACATCGTCATCGTCCTGGACGGCTCCAACAGCATCTACCCCTGGTACGAGGTGCAGAGCTTCCTCAGCAACGTCCTCGGCAAGTTCTTCATCGGGCCCGGGCAGATCCAGGTGAGGTGGGGTCCCCACAGCCACCTCGGGGTCCCCACGGCCACATCGGGGTCCCCGCGGCCACGCCGGGGTCCACGGGGCCATGTCACTGGCCCTGGGGTGATGCCAGCCCCTGGATCCTGCCGTCATACGCAGGGCAATGCTGGCATCCCAGGGGTGATGCCGTTGTCCCCAGGGCGCTGCTGCCATCCCTGGGGTGATGCCACCCGTGGGGCGACACCATTGTCCCCAGGGTAATGGTGGGGTCCCTGGAGTGATGCCATCATCCCCAGGGCGATGCCGTTGTCCCCGGGGCAATCCTGTCATCCCTGGGGTGATGCCACCATACCCGGGGTGATGCCACTCATGGGCTGATGCCACCGTCCCCGGGGCAATCCTATCATCCCTGGATGATGCCACCATCCCCGGGGTGATGCTACCCAAGGGGTGATGCCACCATTCCTGGGGCAATCCTATCATCCCTGGGGTGATGCCACCGTCCCCGGGGTGATGCCACCCATGGGACGATGCTGTTGTCCCCAGGGCAATCCTATCATCCCTGGATGATGCCACCATCCCCGGGGTGATGCCACTCATGGGGTGATGCCATCATCCCCGGGCCAATCCTATCATCCCTGGATGATGGCACCATTCCCGGGGCAATCCTATCATCCCTGGGGTGATGCCACCATCCCCGGGGTGATGCCACTCATGGGGTGATGCCATCATCCCCGGGCCAATCCTATCATCCCTGGATGATGGCACCATTCCCGGGGCAATCCTATCATCCCTGGGGTGATGCCACCATCCCCGGGGTGATGCCACTCATGGGGTGATGCCATCATCCCCGGGCCAATCCTATCATCCCTGGATGATGGCACCATTCCCGGGGCAATCCTATCATCCCTGGGGTGATGCCACCATCCCCGGGGTGATGCCACTCATGGGGTGATGCCATCATCCCCGGGCCAATCCTATCATCCCTGGATGATGGCACCATTCCCGGGGCAATCCTATCATCCCTGGGGTGATGCCACCATCCCCGGGGTGATGCCACTCATGGGGTGATGCCATCATCCCCGGGCCAATCCTATCATCCCTGGATGATGGCACCATTCCCGGGGCAATCCTATCATCCCTGGGGTGATGCCACCATCCCCGGGGTGATGCCACTCATGGGGTGATGCCATCATCCCCGGGCCAATCCTATCATCCCTGGATGATGGCACCATTCCCGGGGCAATCCTATCATCCCTGGGGTGATGCCACCATCCCCGGGGTGATGCCACTCATGGGGTGATGCCATCATCCCCGGGCCAATCCTATCATCCCTGGATGATGGCACCATTCCCGGGGCAATCCTATCATCCCTGGGGTGATGCCACCATCCCCGGGGTGATGCCACTCATGGGGTGATGCCATCATCCCCGGGCCAATCCTATCATCCCTGGATGATGGCACCATTCCCGGGGCAATCCTATCATCCCTGGGGTGATGCCACCATCCCCGGGGTGATGCCACTCATGGGGTGATGCCATCATCCCCGGGCCAACTTCGCCATCCGGCGCGCCTGGTGGGCCCCCGCGCCGCGGGAGCGGGGTCGGGACTGGGAGCGGGATCGGGGTCCAGACTGGGATTGGAATCGGGATGGGGTTGAGCTTGGGATTGGGGTCAGGGTTGGGGATGGGATCGGGGTCAGGATCGAAGCTGGGATTGGGATCAAGGTTGGGATTGCGGCTGGGGTCAAGATCAGGGTTGGGATTGAGACCAGGATCGTGGCTGGGAACGGGATTGGGTTCAGGACTGGGATCAGAGTTGGGATTTGGATCGGGATCGTGGCTGGGATCGGGTTCAGGACTGGGATCAGAGTTGGGATTTGGATCGGGATCGTGGCTGGGATCGGGTTCAGGACTGGGATCAGGGTTGAGATCAGGATCGGGTTTGGAGTCAGGACTGGGATCGGGAGGGGAAGGGAGGTTGGGATTGGCTTCAAGACTGGGATCAGGGTTGGGATTGGGATCGGGATCGGGTTTGGAGTCAGGACTGGGATCGGGAGGGGAGGGGAGGTTGGGATCAGGATCAGAGTTGGGATCAAGATCGTTATTGGGGTTGAGACCAGCATCGAGATTGGGATTGGGATCAGGGTTGGGATCGAGATTGGGATTGGGGTTGGGATCAGGATCAGGGTGAGGACCGGGATCAGGGTTGGGATGGAGATCAGGCTCATCTGGAGCTGAGACTGAGGTCAGGAGTGGAGCTGATCTTGGGGGCCGGGTTGGGATCAGGATCAGAACTGGGATCAGGGGCCGGGACTGGGCTCAGGAGTGGGGTGGGGCTCAGCCTCGTGCCCCCCGT